GACCAGCTCATGGGTACGCCGACCTAAACTATGAATGTGACGAGCGATATCATGAATCCTAAACCTAGAACTATGGGTTTACCCGGCAGTATCATAGATTATGCGCCCAAAACCATGAAGGTCCCGGGAAGCATCGCGAGTCACATACCTAAAGCTATGAGTTTACCGGGCACAAACATGAATGTACCGGGCACAAACATGAATGTATCGGGCACTAATCCCAGATGTGGGTTTCTAACATTCAAATAACGGTAAACTACCTACAACGAAGAAAAATAGGAGGGATAAACGCTTACTTGGAAGTAAAGAAGAATGTACAGCAGCGGTAAAAGAAATCGACGGAGGAAGGTGCAGTAATCTTGTGAAGTTGTAGAAGAACAGCGGCGGCAAAGGCAGAGGAAGAAGGAGAAGCGCGAAGAGGAAAAACAGATTATGGGACCCAAGGATCCTATTTATAGGGATGACGTGGAATGCGAAACGTCACCCCGGAGAACCACAAACTTCCCCTCCTCGACGTCTACTCCCCTAGGCAATGGTGGCCCTACTGTCGCTAGGGTGGCGTCACGGTTCCCAAGGGTTGCCTCGTGTACCCAATGAACACAGCCCGCGAGGAATCCCCCGAGCACGCATCGACGAGGACTACGCTACGAACGCAACTCATGAGAAACTTCTCGAGCAATCACGAGGAAGCAAATATCCTGGGCCGGGCATCAGACCCCGTGGCAAAGGCGAGCTGAAGTCAAGTCATAACTCCTGCTCCAGGAGCCACGACTTGGGGGGCTCCTGTTCTGGACTGGGCCCGCTCTGGCCCAAAAGCAAGAACAAAGGCCCAATCCAAGCAGCTCCTCGAGGAACGCGCGCCCGCGGATTCCCGCCAGCGCGTCCGACCACAGACTGCAGCCGTGCCCGCGACACATGGTGTCCCCGACCACGAGAACTCCAGCTCGAGCACCCTCCTCGTAGGGCAGATTCTGACCTTTACCAAATCATCTGAACTTCGGAAAGACCGCGTCTTCGTCCCTCCTCATTTCTCACAGAGCACTACCAGGAAGGGGGTCACGTGCGAGTCCCCACTACACACGTAGAACCTGGCAGTTCTTTTATTGGGCCAATTCTGGTCGACCCAGTGAGGGGACCTTGGCCCCGCGTTGGAGGCTATAAATATCCTTTGTTCCTAGAGGGTCAGGTATTCATCTCTTACGCATACGTACACTTTTTGCCTGCTCATTCCGTCACTCACTTTAGCATCGGAGTGCCCTGCAGATACCCCCATCTCACTCAAATTCTGCTCTGAACCAGTCGTGACGGTCCAAGTTTGGTCAGGTAAGATCACTATCCATAATTGAATATTATTACATACAATCAGACTCAAATTGATAATAAAATATTTAATGTGTCTATATTTTGAAGAAACTTTTAAAGAAAATAAGAGCGAAAGTTATTGTATATAGTACATAGAAAAAACACACTTAATTCTACCATTTAGCGTTATTATATTATAGATTTAAATTAAAAATAATTATTTAATATAATTAATTAAATTTATTTCAATTTTTTATTATTTTCATTTCTATTAAATAGTAAAATTAAACTAAAAATAACATTTATATTTATCATATTTAATTATACAATTATTGTTTTAATTGTATCATTTTCAATCAGTAACATAAATTATAACATATATATATATATATATATATATATATATATATATATATATATATATATATATATATATATATATATATATATATATATATATTGTTGTATCTATTATAAATCGGTTTTCTTAGTTTTTAAATATTAAAATTAGTTTGATTTTTGATTTGTTTTACCACTTTTATAAATTGAGAAATATTAGAAGAAAAATATATTTTTGTATATTATTGTTTTTTATTTTGAATCATTTATGCTATCCATTTCAACATGCATAAGCATCCAATTAAATTATTGTTTCAACACATAATATGATAAGTAGTGTATATCAACTCTATCTAATTTTTCTTTTTAAAAAAAAAACCATAATGTATTGATAAAATTAAAGCATAAGCTAGTAATGATTTCAGTACATAAATATTTACTACAAATGGAATACATGATGCATCAGTGCTGCTTCAACAACATACTACTATAAAAGATTAATCTAACTGGCATAGTGAAAATATGGATTTGTTTTCTCCTTCATCTTCGTATTTCCTTTAGCTGATATATCCTCATATTCAATGAAGTTTTCCAATAAAGGGCAGAATCAATCGGTTTCCTGTTTCTGCAGTACTCAAATGCTACTGTAGGTTGATTCACTGATTATGTTTACCCTTTTAGCTTCTTTCAGAATTGATTCATGATTCACGTCCAAAAAGTGGATATCTGATGAATCTAGAACCAAGTGATTTGCATATGATTTTTCATCCTCTATAATTTCCCCGACGCATTAATAATACAAAACTCTTGTTGTCTGAAAGAGCGCGTCTAGAAAAATTCCATCTTTAACGGCAAATCAAAGTCAATAGAACAGCAGACCAAGACTCTGGACTCTCTAGAACCAGGATCCGGACAAAGGTAACAATTATCAGTATATTTGTTTACTTGGGTTTGCAAGAAGAAGCTTTGACACAAGGTATCCTGCAATTGAGCATGTCTGAAACAGTATAGAAAACTACAATCAAGTCCCTCTATAGGTATGTTGCTGAAGTTTTATAAATATACCATTTCTCAGTTATTTTCATGCAAAAAAACTATGCTTGTAATACATGATAAGAGTTTAAAATTTCAAACAGTCAACATATATGGCCATAGAAAATTTAACAATTAGTATGCACATAGGTTTTCAAGACATGACCATAAATATACTGATTTCGATGAAAAAACTGGTTTGGGAATGGTCATATTTGAAAATTCATCTTCTATGGCAGGGAATAAGTAACATTAATTATAAACCAAATTGTCACCAACCTTGATCTTCCTGAAATACTATTTGGCACATCCAGAATAAAAAATTTAAAACATCTTCAAACATAAGAGGGCAAAATGTTTGTCCAAACTCAAAATAATTTGTATCTTTCTTTAATTTTATTCCGCTTGGCATGTCAAATTGAGTTACGAACTCAGCAAATGCTTTCAGCGTGGGATAGCCAATACACATACAACAATTCCTAATCTTTTCTAGTTACAATAGAAAGTCAATATACATACAACAATTCAATATCTATAAGAAAACTTATATGCTAAATATAACTTTTTAATTCAGTTTTTATGTGTTCATTGATTGTGATGCTGCCCATGTGTTAAAAACCTAAAAATATTGAACAACAATATTAATTGATATTTGTAGTAGAAGAAAAACTACCTTAGGAATGTTGCAAGTTCTTAGCTCCTACAAAAGCTGAACAAATAGAGAACAAACCAAAAGAGCCTGTACAGTTGCACTAAGGAAGCATAAATTCCCCTAGTTAATAAGGCCTCGAGGCAGCAGTTCCTTAATATCCATAATAGTGTTCCCAATAGGTGATTTTTTTCATGTCTTGATCAAATAACTTTGAAGTATCATCACCGTTGTCATTTTTATAGACATGAGTTACAAAATAAGTTGAATGTAAATATAATCTGGAATTAATCGCAGACAAAACAGTAGCTTTACCGCAGACATCCATTGATGGGCTCTTGGCTCTGGCTTCAAGTCACAATATATCAATATAAGGCTATTCAAAAGTTGAAGTGCTTCCAAACACCAAATATTAATTGACTGCACAGGTGAATTCATAAGAGTTTTAAAATAATCACAGATAAGATAAACATTAGACATTTTGATGTAAATGACACACCCCAACCCTGCAATCTCGGCATCGTAAGTAGTTCATATAGTATTAACAAATGGCACCAAAGAAATTACCTTCACTCAATTTGCAAACAACTAAGGGATTTTTTTGCGGCAAGATTTGGAATACATGCACATGGAAATCATTAAAAGCAATGGTTAATTGCATCATGTAAATTCACGTAGTGATAACTGCAAAGTGTGCTTATGTTTAAGCAGAGTAATATCAATAAAAAAACTCTGATTCACCAATTTTATGAGTTTTATCCCTTATACTATGCTTCAACATCACAAAGAACAAACAAAAAAGCAAACAATTCATTTAATTCAACTCCAAGTCCACACTTGCAGAGTAAAGAGAAAAAGAAGACAGTAAACTTCACCGTAAGTGTCTGCCAAAAGAGAGTGTAACATAACCATCAACAATAAGATCATGTGAGACAATAGAGATAGTGAAATTATCCATATGAATATCCTTCATAGTATTTCCACCACCGCTCTCTTGCTTCACACACGCAACAGGCATCCCAATAGAAAGAGTATGCAAATGTTCACTAATTAAATATCACAATTATAATCATCAATAAAGTTCAAGACAGATTGAGAAGTAGATATACCTAAGGCTATTAAGATGACATGCAAAATATTTCCCCAACACAACACAATTATTTTATATTTACCAGGCTCACTAAATTGATTAATCATACCTTTAGAATTAGTAAAGAGCTTGAATGAGTTAAGAAAAAGCAAGTACTCGTTGGTGTTATCATCTCTTAAAGTGAGTTGACAACCAAATTAAGTAGAAAATTCTGGAATAAATTAAAATAATAAAACATATAAATAATGACATCTAGTGTTGCAATCACTTTTCTTGATGTTCCTCTCAAGAGACAATCTTTTTTTTTTTCACAGGAGACAATTTTTTATGCCCTTTCAAAATAGCTGGTGATAATTATGCTACATTTTTAGTAAAGAACAATAGAGCACTGCTTATAGCACTTGACCTATCCGCTGAGTTCTACATTGCACTATCGCCTATACTAAATTCATGTCCCCTTCTTCATTGTAGGAGCTATCTTCCTTATCAGAGCAACTTGAATCGCCTAAAGGCAAGTGGGCCATTGTTTCTTTGATCAACCAACTATATGCCTCTGACCGAGTAAGGTTCCTTTGCAAGGGTCAACTTTTAAAATGCAGCAAGCAGTATCAATGCTACATGTATATGTTTTAAGCAAAAACTTAAAAATCCAATGATAAAATCAAAATGGTGTGAGAATTGAGAGAACAAATATAGACTCACATGCATAGCTGACACTAATGGCACAAAAGAGAGCCATTTGAACTTTTGTTTTTCCCATGAAAATAGTTAAGCAAATATTAGTAAACTACATATAAAAAAGACAAACCATAGTTTGGATGAGAACCATAATAGAGAATATTTTTAAAAGCAACGAAATGTAAAAACAAAATACACCTCGAAGAAAGAGAGGTTAAACTTTTCGGCAACTCTATCTAGAGTACCGCTTGTAGGCATTGATCGTGCAAGACCCTGCAATTACAATACAAAACAATGACACTTTTGTTTACAACAATGAATACTCGTCAATAATATGATATATGCCCAAAATTTCTACCTTGAAGCTGTTCTTAAAGTACATAATCAATTCTTTTGCATTGGCTGCAATAACGACTACAGAATCTGAAGGAGTTACAAAGAAACTCGTTCCCAAAATCATATTTCTATCACCATCACCTAAACAAAAGTTTAAATACATAAACATCATCAAGTGAACACAAAAAATGTAAATACCAGGTAATAATGTTGCAGAGTAGATCAATTTTATATATACATAAAAACTGGAAACATGATTATGCACATAGATCCCATAGGTTTGCATACCTGTGAACTAATTCCAACGCGGCCAGTTTGAAGGTTGCGTCCAGTTTGAAAAGCACACCATTCAATCCCTGTCTATCCCCCTGCAAAATATTGAAGTTGTGCATTATTTATGTTATGACAGTATTTTTAGTGTAATCCAATATAGAGATATCATAATCACTATTCCTGATACTCAAAATGTTAGTGGCTGTCTCTGAGTTAAGTTTTTCTGCACTATGCCATTCCTCCCTAGTTCTTGATGAATGTTGCAGGGCTGAAAATTGTCCGCCTTTTAGAAAAGTGTTAGCCGCTGCCTTAGAATGTTGTGATGCTGACCTGTTTAGTATGTATTCCAATAGCTAAATGGTGTCTTCAACTCTGTAACAAAATAGTATTAAACAAAAATATTACCGATCTCAAAATACCAATGTAATTTACAGTGAAACGTTATAATATTTTAACTGATAACTGCATAAGAGGAAAATACATGATTGTATAAAACTGTAAAGCAGAATTTGAGCAGAACGCATAAGAAGACTGAGCAGAATACATCAGAAATATCAAGGGTTTATGGCAATTAATATTTTTGAAGACTGAGCAGAATACATCAGAATCCATATTTTTCAAAATTGAAATGTAATACCAAATAAGAGAAGAAAAGCATGAATCCGGCTGATAGTTGAATGACTCTCTGACTCCCAACTCGTGTTAGGCCCAACAGACCTGCATTTTGGCTTAAGTCCAAGAAAAGGAATGACGATTAGAAACCCCTTGTTTGTGAAACGGAAAATTAGGGTGAAATTGAGAGAGGGGAATAGAAACAAACCTTGAGAAAGTGATAGAGGTGTTTGCAATTTGAAGAGATGAGTCTGCTATCTCTGAACTGTGTCATCTTCATCATCATTCTTCAAACCTCCATCTTCTTCATACTCCATTTGCAGTGACTTCTAATCCCCAATCATCGTCAAGGTTCTTCAATCAGAACATCACGCACACATCAATAATCATCAATCAACCGAACACGAAATCGAGAAGGAAAACCGAACTGAAGCAGAGATTGCGAGCGAAAGAGACTGAGTCATTGAGAGCGACGCTCGTCGAAGAAGAAGGAGAAACAGTCGTCGTTGTGTGAAAGAGAAGGGAATGAATTTGATTTGATTATGGAAACGGTTATAAAATTGATAATGAATAGGGGAGGTTGGAGAGGCAAAGTATAGGAAAGTGGAGATGGGAGGTTACATGAGGAATTGTAGAAGTATTCAACGAATTCGAACGGATGGAAGTGAAACTCCTAAAAAGCTATCAACCTGTTGTGATTTTGGAACAAAATGATAAAATAAATTTTTTGGGTAGAAGAGTTTTCTTATATTATAAATTGCTTTTTTTACTTTTTAACATTAAGACAGTCCCAAACAACGTTAAAATTGGAGTAGAACTTTTTTTCCCTACATATTTCATTTGCCCCCTCTTTTATTGTATTTAAATAATTAATTGTTTTTATTAACAGTGATGGCCTAGGCCGACGAAGTCATTTATTTATATATATTTTTGTTTATTTAAATTAATAATATGAAATTAAATAAAATATAAAATAGTTTAAATTTAAATAAAATTAAAAATAAAATAAATTATATAGTTAAAAAATAAATTACAACAAAATTTGTGAATAACAAATTATATATTTACTTATTAAATAAAATCTACACATAATTAAAAAATAAAAATTAAACAAATTAAGAATAATAAACTAAAATTAATATATTTTATTTATTCTCTCAAACATTATTTAAATTAATAATATTATAATATAAGAATTAAAGTAGAAAAATTATATAAAAAAATATAAAAGACAAATTTTTCTATAATTTACTTTAAAAATAAATAAGATATAAAACTTCAGTACATAATTTAGGAATGTGTGGAGAATAAATAAGTTATGACAAAAAATTAGATACATTTAATTTATAGGCAAAAATTCGTTCATTATTCAAAGTTTACATTATTTAATAAATAATCAAATATAATAAAATAAAATACTATTACTCTTGAAATTTCAATACATAATTAAATATAATAAAATAAAATAATTTATTAGTTTTCAGATAAAACTAGTAAAATACACGTCTGAATGATAATGTTGTCGTACGCGCAATGGTTAATGTACTTATAAGAATTGTTTATAAATTTTCATTTTTTAATATTTGAATCAAATTTTTTTTTTTATTTCATATAATTGTTGCAATAGAAGAAAAAAATAAAATTTATTAAAATTTATATTATTTTTCACTTAAAATATCAAAATTAATTATACTTTTCATAATTAAATAACAAAAATTGAAGAAACTACAAATAAATTGATGAATTTATTCATATATCCTAAAAATATTCAATACCTAAAAATTAAAAAATAGAATACTAAATATTGTATTAAATAAAGCATTATGTATTTTAATAAGAAGCCAATTATATTAGTGATATAGTAACAATAAATGGTAAGTTATGAAAAGAATAAAAAATGGATATTTGATAGTAAAATAAATGTAGTTATTTGATTAATAAGTAAAATATGTTTAGTTGTAATTTTGGTCATTCTATTATCTTTTTTATTTTTTTTCTTTCTCTATTTTAAAATCTGAAATATTAGTCTTTTTTATTTTAGTTTTTTTAAAAATTTAGTCTCCCTATAAATTTAATGACCATTTTTAATGACATAAAATTCATAATAATAATATATTTAATATAAATCTTAAATAAAATAGTTTTTTTTAAACAATTCACTATTGAACTCATACTGATACATTATAAATATGAACTACATATTATTAAAAATTACATTCACATTTTCAGAAGACTAAAATCTTCAAAAACTATAATAAAAAGACTAAAACTGTAGATTTTAAAATGGAAAAAGAAAAAAAAAAAAAAAGGATAATAAGAAAAGCAAAATTGTAATTAAGTCTATAAAATATATAAAGTGCTACATAAAATAGGGGCTTAAGTTGTAGTATAAAAAGCAAATTGGTTTTGTAGATAGCAATTGGTAAGTACCTGATCCCAAAACCTCAACGATGATTGGAGCAAAACGTCCTTCATGGGCAGCCGGGTAGGATTTGATTTTCCCGTAGTGAAATAAGTTATGTAGTTTGTAGATAGCACGATATATATAAGAGGTGTTTTAATTGTCCATGCGTGTGTGTTTCGTTTGCAAATCTTCAACTTTCAGCAAATATGAAAATGTTTTGATGGATCCAATTACCATGACTCTCACTATTACGGAAAATACAAATAATAACTGTTGTGAAACACATATAATAACGATATAATAACGGTAGTACATCAATTGTTAGGTAGCGTGTGATTGTATATATGTTAATTACTACAATGGGCATATGATCCTTGTTATAAATTAGATAACGTGTTATTTATAACTACGATTTACGCAAATAATTGTTGTGAAATAATTGAAAAGTCATGGGTTCAACTCCTACAATGCCGAATTTGGATTTTATTATTCTACATATAATAACGATTGAATTCACAACCGTTGGGATACTATTTCTTAATAATTCTTAATCGTATCCTACCAAAATCAACAATACACCCACTTGTGAATTGAATATTGAAACTTGTATTACATCAATGACACAATTCAAATTAAATGTAAGAAGGAGTGGAAGGAATATCAAAGAAGGGAAAAAGAAATTTGAAAAGACAAAGAGATGTAATCATTCAACAGCTCGAGATAGTTAGTCAACCAGAAGAACTTCAAAGAGAAGAAAACGTGGAGAACTTGACATGTGTGAAATCTTTTGGCTTTTAGACTTTCAAAGATCACAGAATATGAAGAATTAGAAGAACCAATATAAAAGCGGAAAATTTCTTTAAACCAAAACACAAAAAGAACTTCATCCAAAGAAATCTAAGAAGAGGAAGAATCAAAATGAATACTGTTAAGATAAGTCAAGGATATTTTAGCTAAATTAAGTAGGAAAATATTTGTGCTGTAAATAATTTATTTCATTCCCTTAATAGAAGAGGAATTATATGGACTCTTTTGTGTGTATATAGTACCTTGATCAATGAATAAAATTATCAGAATTATTACTTTGAAATGTTCTATATGGTATCTAGAGCCAACACCGTCTCTCTTTCAATATAGGAACATTGTTTTTTTTTATTTCTTAGTAATTTCTGATGGCTTCTGCTAAAAACAAATCGGAGAATTCTGGAACTTCCGTTGATGTCCATCCTTCTACTGTTGCCGGCTTCGTAACCAAGTCAGGCATGTCTAACTCTGCTCATAATCCTTCTGTTATTATTAGAAATAGCGATTGGATAATCGATACAGATGCTACTGATCATATGACTTGTGATCAACACATGTTTACTAATTTCTCTCCTAATTGTCATAAAACTATTATTATTACTGCCAATGGAGTGGAATCTCCCATTGAAGGTGTTGGTATAATGACTCTATCACCCTCCCTATCAATACCTAATGTCTTATTTGTTCCTACCTTGAATTGCAATCTTATCTCTGTCAGTAAATTAACAAAATCACATTCATGTGTCGCCGTGTTTTATCCAACCCACTGTGTTTTTCAGGATATACATACTAAGGAGAAGATTGGCAGTGGTAGATATAGTGAAGGGCTGTATTATCTTGATAAAGTTTCACAAATCCATAAAGGAGCATTGGTTCATCTTGCAAGTGATCACATACAAGATCAAAATATAAAAAAAAATATTCGGCTATGGCATAGACGATTGGGGCATCCCTCCTTTAGTTATCTAAAAAAACTGTTTTCATCGTTATTTCATAAATGCAATATTTCAGATTTTCTTTGTGAAACTTGTGTTTTGGCAAGAAGTCATCGTGCAATTTTTCCCTTGAGTAATAAGAAAACAGACTTTCCTTTCTCTTTAGTACACATGGATGTTTGGGGTCCTGCTCCGCAATCTACACATAATAGAAAAAATGGTTTATTAGTTTTATTGATGATTGTACACGGGTATATTTTCTACAACATAAAAGTGATGTGTATGATATGCTTCGCTCGTTTCATCAAATGATAGTAACACAATTTAACACATGTATTAAGGTAATTAGATCAGACAATGGAGGGGAATATTTTAAGAAAGAATTAAAAGATTTTTTGAACTCTAAGGGCATTTTGCATCAAACAACATGTCCTTATTCCCCCCAACAAATTGGGGTGGCTGAGAGGAAAAATAGACATATATTAGAAGTTACTAGAACACTCCTAATTGATGGTAATGTTCCATCTCATTTATGGGGCGAGGCTGTGAATTCAACAGTTTACTTAATTAATCGAACCCCCTCTAGTGTGCATAACTTTAGAAGATCTCTAGATGTTTTATCTGATCATCATGTTCTCCCTTCCATTGTTCATTTACTACCTCATGTTTTTGGATGTGTTATATATGTTCACTTACACCCACATCAACGTACAAAACTTGAAAAACGAGCTCTTAAATGTGTCTTTGTTGGGTATGGATCAACTCAAAAAGGTTATCGTGCTTATCATTCATCATCTAAATTTTTTTATATTTCAATGGATGTAACTTTTCATGAAGATAACTTTTTCTATGTTGATTCTACACTTCAAGGGGGGGAATGAAAGTGAAGCGCAACACCATGATGTTAGCATGTTTGACTTATTTTGTGAAGATAAATTATCTTGTGAGGATCATTCTGCAGGTAATGAATCAATCTCAAATATGGACACATCACCTTTAGATAATACAATTTCCCCTGACGATAATCAACTAGCTCAATCTTCTACACAAGATCAAGTTAACTCTCCAGAGGTATTTCCTAATTCTATTCCCGATAATACAATTATCAATGGAGTTGATACTAATGTTCATTCTGAAGTAGGT